TAATGGCCTACTGCCTGGTTAACATCAGGACTGTGCCTTTTTACTTGTCAACCTTGGGCTTCTCAGCCTCAGCAACCAGCAGCTGTCTGAGTGAAGAAACATCTCTAGCTTCAGTGAGCTGGGAGCTGGAGGCAGAGCTGGACCCCAAGGTTGAGGGGCTTTCACCCAGCCCCTAGAGCCTGGCACTTTGAACTTGGACTTAAAACTTCCCAATTTTAAGAATAAACTCCTGTTTGCTAAGGCCATCCCATTCGTGGTATATTCTTGTCAGAGCAGCACTAGGTAACCAGAACAGAGGCCTCAAAAACAAAAACCAAACTCACTGCCATCAAGTTGATCTGACTCATAGCGACCACCTTTGGGTTTCTGAGGTGGTAAATCTTTATGGAAGTAGATTGCCCAATATTCTTTCTGTGGAGTGGCTGGTGGGTTTGAACCTCCAACCCTCTAGTAGCAGTCAAATGCCTTAGGCACTATGCCAGCAGAGCTCCTTCTAAAAAGGCCTAACCAAAAACACCAAGCACACTGTTGTTGAGTTGGATGCAACTCATAGTGACCCCTCCTTGGGTTTCTGAGGCAATATCACTGAGGAAGTAGATTGTCCAACCTTCCTTCTGAGTAGTGGCTGGTGGGTTTGACTGGTTAGCAGTCAAATTCCTTAGGCAATTCACCACCAGAGCTCCTCAAAAGAGGCTTAGTAGGATAGGGTTAAAATCCAACTCATTGCTGTTGAGTGGATTCTGACTCATAATGCTCCTATAGGACAGACCAGAACAACCCCATAGAGTTTCCAAGGATGTAATCTTTATGTAAGTAGACTGCTTCATCTTTCTCCTACAGAGCTAAGTGATTAAACAATTGTATCTCTGAACTGCTTCTGACTGTTGGTACTATTTGTTTGGTTTTATTTTTTCTGTATGATATTTTCCAGGAGGTCATATGGTGTTATGAAAATGAAGAATACTTATATGGTTCTCACATCAAACAGGATGCAGCTTTTTCTGTCCAACTTGTTTTTCTTCACAGTGATTACAGAGAAGCTGTTCCTGTGATGAGAACTCAGCCACCAGAAAAAACTAGAGGAGCACACACTCAGACTGGAGAGGTAAGAATTGTGCGCAATCATCAGCGCACAATGACCAGTTCCTTGGAAACCGTATTGTCTGAAAACAAAAGCATTAGTATGGATCAATCACTGAAGATGAAATTTTCACCTCTCGTCAATTTGTCATACTGTGGTGGCTTGTACGTTGCTCTGAGGCAGGAGCCTATCCCACTGGTATTCTAAATACCAGTAGGGTCTCCCATGGTGGACAGGTTTCAGCAGAGCATTCAGACTAAAACAGACTGGGAAGAAGGACAGGGCCATCAATTTCTGAAAAAACACTGGACACTGAAAACCATAAAAAATAACTGAAACATTGTCTGAAGATGAGCTCCCTCAGGTCAGATGGTACTCAAAACACAACTGGGGAAGAGCTGCCTCCTCAAAGTAGAGTCAACCTTAATGACATAGATGGAATAAAGCTTTTGTGACCTTCCTTTGCTGCTGGGGCACAACTCAAAATGGGAAAAAAAAAAAAAAAAACAGTTGCAAACATCCATTAATAATCAGAACACGGAATGCATAATGTAGCAATATAGGAAAATTGGAAGTTGTCAGAAATGAAATGGAACACATAAAGATCAACATCTTAGGCATTAGTGAGCTGTAATGAACTGGTTTTGGCCATTTTGAATCAAGCTATCATATGGTCTATTATGCCGGGAATAACAAATTGAAGAGGAATGGCGTGGCACTCATTATCACAAAGAATATTTCAAGATCTATCCTGAAGTACAATGCTGTCAGTAATAGAATAATATCCATACACCTACAAGGAAGACCAGTTAGCACTACTATTATTCAAATTTGCACTAAAGCCAAAGAGAAGAAATTGAAGATTTTTACCAATTTTGGCAGGCTGAAATTGATTAAACATTCGATCAAGATGTATCAATTATTACTAGTGATTGGGATGTGAAAGTTGGAAATAAGAAGATGCTTCAGTAGCTGGAAAATATGGCCTTGGTGAGACAAATGATGCTGGATAGCACATGATAGAATTTTGCAAGACCAAGAACTTATTCATTGCAAATACTTTTTCCAACAACAAAAATGATGGAATGCACAGGAATCAAATCAACAACATCTGTGAGAAAAGGCTGTGGAGAAGCTCAATATCATCAAAACAAGGGCAGGAGCTGACTGTGGAACAGGCCATCAATTGCCCATATGCCAGTTCAAGTTGAAGCTGAAGAAAATTAAAACAAGTCTACAAGAGCCAAAATTATAAACTTGATTATATCCCACCTGAATTTACAGATCATCTGAAGAATATATTTGACACTTTGAACACCAATGACAGAAGACTGGACGAGTTGTGGGATGATAACAAGAACATCATACACGAAGAAAACAAAAGGTTATCAAAGGAAAGGAAAGGAAGAAAACACCAAAAAGGATGTAAGAAGAGACTCTGAAAGTTGCTCTTGAATAGAAAGTAGCTAGAACAAGTGGCAGAAATGATGTAATAAAAGAACTGAAGAGAAGATTTGAAAGGGCAGCTTGAGAAGACAAAACAAAGTATTATAATGAAATGTGCAAAGACTGAAATGGAAGAACAGGCTCAGCATTTCTCAAACTGAAAGAACTGAAGAAAAATGTCAAGCCTTAAGTTGCAATATTGAAAGATTCTATGGGCAAAATATTGAATTATGTAGGAAGCATCAAAAGAAGATGGAATACACAGAGTCACTGTACTAAAATGAATAGACCAATGTTCAGTTATTTCAGGAGGTAGCATATAATCAAGAACGAATGGTACTAAAGGAAGAAATCCAAGCTGCATTGAAGGAATTGGTGAAAAACAAGGCACCAGGAATTGACAGAATACTCATTGAGATGTTGCAACAAATGGATGCAGCAGTGGAAATGCTTACTCATTTATGTCAAGAAATTTGGAAAACAGCTACCTGGCCAAATGATTGGAAGAGATGCATATTTGTGCCCATTCCAAAGAAAGGTGATCCAACAGAATGTGGAAATTATCGAACCGTATCATTAATATCACACTCAAGTAAACTTCCTGAAGATAATTCAAAAATGATTGTAGCAGTATATTGACAGAGAACTTCCAAAAGTTTAAGCTGGATTCAGAAGAGGACGTGGAATGAGGAATAGCCTTTGTTGATGTCAGATGGATCTTGGCTAAAAGCAAAGAATACCAGAAAGATATTTACCTGTGCTTTATTGACTGTGTAAATACATTCTACTTTGTGGATCATAACAAATTATTGGTAACATTGCAAAGAATGGGAATTCCAGAACACTTCCTTGTGCTCATGAGGAACCTGTACATAGACAAAGAGGCAGTCATTCTAACAGAACAAGGGGATACTGAATGCAGGTTTAAAATCAGAAAGGGTATCCATCAGGGTTGTATCCTTTCACCATATGTATTCAATCTATATGTTGATTAAATAATTTGGGAAGCTGGGCTATATGAAGAAGAATGTGGCATTAGGATTAGAGGAAGACTCATTAACAACCTTCAATAGGCAGATGACACAACTTTGCTTGCTGAAAGTGAAGAGGACTTAAAGCACATATTGATGAAGGTCAGAGATGACAGTCTTCACTATGGATTACACTTCAACATAAAGAAAACAAAAATTCTCACAAATGGACCAATTAACAACATCATGATAAATGGAGAAAAGATTGAAGTTGTCAGGGATTTCATTTTACTTGGATCTACAATCAACAGCCATGGAAGCAGCAGTCAAGAAATCAAATGTCATATTGCACTGGGAAAATCTGCTGCAAAAGACCTCTTTCAAGTGTTGAAGAGCAAAGATGTCACTTTAAAACTAAGGTGTACCTAACCCTAACCCTAACCTTAACCCTAACCCTAACCCTAACCACCTTGCCCCTTGTCAGCTCTACTATACACCTGGGAATTCTGATCATTGACATAAAGTTATAGGACCATTGTCTGCCAACCCTATATATGTTCTTGGATACCCTCCCCATTTCACAGACATTCCTAATCTTTTAGCCTGTCCACCCATCTATCCACCCATATACCCATGTTTGCCTTCACTGACAACGCAGTACTATATGTGCAAAAGGGTTCGCATTTGTTTTCTGTACCTCCCATGTACCTCTCTATGTCTTTCTCATCCTCAGTGGTGCCATATTGGTCACTCACATTTGGTACATTGCCCTTCTCTTCACCCAAATCAATACTTATCTCTATCTATCTAACAGCCTTCCCTCCCCTACCCTCCCACCCCTGGTAACCAACAAAGAAAATTTCCTTCTATAGATAAACCTTTCTTTAACTTTTACAATAACAGACTAATACAATATTTGTCCTTTTGTGATTGATTTATTTCACTCAGCATAATGTAACAGTCCACTCTATCTTGCAACTCTCTTAACTTCCTCACCATTTAGAAGTTCTGTAACTACACAATCTTTTCCCTCTTTTTGTTTGTAGTTGCTGATGTGGTAAACTTTTATGGAAATAGATTGCCCCCTTCCTTCCATGAAGCAGCTGGTGGGTTTGAACCAGCAATCTTCTGGTTAGCAGTCAAATGCCTTAGGCACTGTGCCACCAGAGCTCCTTATGAAAATAATAGAGATACAAAAACTTTAAAACATAAAACAGTCACATTTAATATAGTTTTAAGAAGCCCCCTACCCCAACTCAGAGATGTGGATATACTTTCTTCAAAATCATGGCTATTCTCTTCAACCTCCCACAATGAAACTCACTAGATTAAACTTTTAAAAATATAGAAACAAAGACTAAGATATTTCAATTTGGCTGCTGAAACAAGACATACACATTTCATCACAAAGAAGACTGCACAAGACAGATTTGTGAAGTTGTTTAATTAAATGAGGATATACCTTGCCCAGTGCTAAAAGTCTCTGTAAAAAGGCCAGTGTATTAAGAAATATTTCTGCCTACAACTCTGCGTAGGGCATCCTTGACTTCTTTGTTCCTCAGGCTGTAAACAACAGGGTTTAGCAGGGGTGTGATGATTGTGTAGGCAACTGAGAGAAGAAGGTCTTGTTCTACAGAGTTTTCTGACTTGGGCTTGAGGTAGGCAATGGAGGCACAGCCATAGTGGACAATGACCACAGTGAGATGTGACGCACAGGTGGCAAAGGCCTTCTTCCGTCCCTCAGCTGAGGTAATCTTGAGTATTGTAGAGATAATGAGGACATAGGAGATGAAGACCAGGCCCATGGGAACCAGGATCACAAATAAACTGACAACAAAGTTGATTATCTCATTGATTGTGGTGTCAATACAAGAGAGTTTCATGACAGGGAGGATATCACAGAAGAAATGCTCAACCACTCTATGACAAAAAGGTAAGGTAAATATGGATGTTACCTGGACAGCTGCCATGACCAGACCAATACCAAAGGCTCCACCCATCAGCTGGACACACACCTTCTTGTTCATGATAACTGTATATCTCAGGGGGTTGCAGATGGCCACATAGCGATCATAGCCCATCACTGTTAGCAGAAAACAGTTGTTGATGGCCAAGGTGACAAAGAAGAACATTTGAGTGGTACAGCCTACCAGGGAGATTGGCTGGTTCTGGGCTAAGAGACTGGAGAGCATCCGCGGAATGATGACCAGTGTGTACACAGTCTCCGAACTGGCCAGCATGCTCAAGAAGAAGTACATGGGAGTGTGGAGGTGATGGTCAATGCGGATGATTGTCACAATTATGGCATTGCCAGCTAATGTTAATACATACAAAATGAGGAAAACTACAAAGAGGATGATCTGGTGTTCATAAAAGCTGGAGAATCCTAAGAAAACAAACTCTGTTACCTCTGAGAGGTTACTTTTCTGCATTCCTCAATTTCAGTGTCTAGAAGCAATGTAGGGAGTCAACATGCATAAATTCCCATTGCAACCTGGATTCTAGAACAGGGATTGAGAAATGTATATAAAAAATACCAAAATTAATGTGTTATGTTTTTGCTCTATAATTAGTAGAGTACTAGCATAGGTCATACGGTTATCCCCCATCACATGTGTTTTGCTTTTGCTACATCCTCAATCTTCCCTGAAGCCTTTGGCCAATATGTAAGACCATCATACATATCTTCAAAATATCACCCATAAATACGTTGTTTTTATAAAGAAGGGATAAAAAGCCCTTTCTTGGAACAACATGGAAGCCACAAGGGGCTCTGACCCAGGCAGCCCAGCTTTGCCCCTGTTTATCTCCTAGGCGAAGTGAGACCAGCTACAAAATAGGAGTGAAAGAGTTAGATTCACTCAGTTAGGGTCACTGGTGGATAGCACTCACTTAAGGAACAAAAACAAGGAGCAGAATTAATCTTTGGGGAAATCTATCTTCTGGAACACCTTAATAAATGAACAGGAGGTGTTCCAGGCCCACCTTGGATGGTCTAGGTGGGACAAATAATGAGCAAATTTTCTTTTTTGGAAAAGCATTGGCAGAGATTTGAAGGTTTGGGGCAAGTAAGCTAAAAAGAGAAGGGGAAATTGCTGTAAAACAAAAAGGAAGAGCAGCAACATCTCAGGAGACTGGGACTTGTATGAAAGAAGTAACTAATTTATTTTTTGCCAGAGGGACTTTTAAGCATGAAGAAGTATAGGTTTTGTATTAAATTGTTTGCTATGTGATGTAAACTCCCTCTAGAGCCCCAATTCTTCATTTAAATCTATGATGTTCGGTCAGTAGTATTTGGGAAGTGAAGATAATTGGATGATGAGGCACAGTGAAGAAAAAGGGCACCACATGCAAGAGGTGAAATCTAGAATGAGGAAGAAACATTCCTTGCTAGTAATGACTGTAAGAAATTCAAGGCCCTCTTTTGCCCTACCATTCCTGTTGCAAACACAACATTTCCTAAAAATTTAGTGAGGGACTCTGGAATTGTCACCATATGTCAAATAGTGCTTTGAGCCATTTCACTTAAAAAACAAGATAACACCAACAGGCTGGAGGACTTGGGGACATTCAGGAGGCTGCCACTCAGGTAGGTAATAGATTTCAACATTGTGGATGTTTTGGAAAATATTCTATTATATGAAATAAGAAGGTCAAAATTTCAACAAAAAGTAAGTCTTACTAACAATGACAGTAATTCACATTAACAGAGATACTTACCAACTGGATAGGCAAAAATTAGTGATCGACTGTGGAACTCCAAGGAACTTCTTAGAAATAAATAATATTAAAAATTCAGTTCCTCATTCACATTAGTCACATTTCAAATGCTGAAAAGTCACATGTGGCTAGTGGCTACCATATCAGTCAGTGCGTATATCAAACACTTCCTTCACTGAAGAAAGTTTTCTTGAACTGTATTGCTATAGTATCTTGCCATAGAGAGATGTCTGGAATAAATCAAATAATATAAAAGCTATTTAAAAAACACTAATATGATGTGCTGTCATATAGTTAAAAATGTGTGTGTGTATGTATGTGTGTGCATGCTCATATATATTTGTACACATGGAAAAAATGTCTGGAAGGATATATACCCCATGTTATACTGTGTTAATTGCTAAATTTAGATGAGGGTGAGATTACAGGAACATTGACTTTTTACAATGCTGTATTCATAGGCAGTATTATCACTCTTATTTTTAAATTTGAGCATAAAGACATAGCTCATAAATAGTCTGGAGAAGTCAAAAAGGATGATGACTGAGAACAGATAGTATATTGAGCAAGAAAGAGGTTACTGATGACCTTATTGGACACAACTTCAAGAGAGTCTTAAGATGAAAACCTGATTATAGGGAGCATATAAGGAATTTTGTTAATATGAGCACAACAGACCAATAGATTTCATTTGCTTTTTCTCTTTCCTGAAGATCTTGTTGCAATGACTGACCACACACACACACACACACACACACACACAAAAGTTAAGGGGATGTTGAGATAGGAGAAGTGTAGACATATTTGGGGCAGGGAAGAGGAAGAAAATAAACTGAATTGAGTTAGGAGAAGGAAAAGATCCCTGGTACCTTTAATTTGGAGCTAAAAATTACTGCTCTCGTCCCATATCTGCCACACATTTGTTGTCAATACACTTCATATAAATATGAACTTACTCTCTGAACGAGTTATAAAGATATAGACAGGATGGCTGGTGATCCACTAGATATGGGGAAAAGGGGCCTGGTACACAAGCCCAGGAACAAAAGGAAAAAGGAGTAACTTTATTGCCTCTGGTGCACATTTGAATTGTGTTCAATGGACAATGAAAGAGTATCTTGTGATAGGATGTTCTTAAAACTTGGGGAAAAAACAAAAAAGAGAGCCAGATCAAGCCACATGGAAGCACAGAACAGCCCCTTTTATCCATTTTTTTTTTTTTTTTTCAAATTGTTGAATATTTACTTAGAGGAAAGGTTGTGGGTTGTGCTGTGTGTGAGGGAAAGGTGAACCAGAGCTGTGGGGGGTGTGTGTGGTGCTATCATGGGAACTCAGCTGCAGCTGAAATAGAGCACTCCATTTAGCCTAAAGCAAAGAAACAAATAGAAGAGCCCTGCAGTAATTGAGACTTCCCCTCCATTGATACACTTGAGTAAGCACCTATACTGCCTAGAATAGATCATCTGCTCATTCTGATTTTTTCAAGTATTATTCTCAGCCACATTGCTCTCCTGGACAGAAGTTCTATTATGCATTTTCCTCCATTTTCTTTGATATTTCCACAGATGTTTTAGCATTCTTTGTAAATTGAGGGCAAATGTCTCAACTTCTTAATCTTTGTCTTTTTGAGGCACAGAAGCAATCCAAAATCATTACTGCCGAGAAATGTATGGATCAAATGTCAAATACAGGGTGGTTGCTGTCCCTGAGAGTGAGGGGGACCCAAGTAAAAGAGAAAGGGAAGCATGGGAGGCAGACGCTGGGAGTAAGTGACATTGTTAGTCTTTCTTCTTCTTCTTTTCTTGCTTTTTGTCCTTCTTAATTCTTCCCTCTTCTCCCCTTTGCTTTCCTTTTCTTCCTCTTCAGCCTATCTTTCTCTTTCTTCTTCTTCTTTTCTTTCTTCTTCTTCTTTTCTTTCTTTCTTTCTTTTTTTTTTTTTTTTTACAGTTTCTCACAGAAGAAATCAGGTAGCAATGAACACCAGTGTTTGCCTTGGGGAGATAGAAGAGGTCATGGAAACCATCGTGGAGTCAAAGAAGTGTATGGAATGGGTGGCTCAGTTCCATCGTGGGGACTGGGTCAGCTGTTAGAACATGTGCCAATGAATTTCAGGACTATTTTAGTACAGATTGTTGTTGTTGTTGTTATGTGCCATCGAGTCGGCCCCGACTCATAGCGACCCCTCCTTGGGTTTCCGAGGCAGTATCACTACGGAAGTAGGATTGCCCAACCTTCCTTCTGAGGAGTGGCTGGTGGTACAGATAGCTACCTCTTTTTCCTCCAACTAGTTGCTCTTTTGAGTCTTTGCCCAACCAGAAGTGAGTGCAGCTGCGCACAGTAGCAGTAGCTCTTTTATCACTCAAATCTGGGCCCTCTCTGTGCCTGTACCCTCAGGGTGGTTCTGTGTAGGGGACACACCAGTAGATAATCTCACAAGCCCGGTGTAGAACAGAAAGGAGCTTTCAGAATGATTTATACATTCCAGAAGGATAAGAACCCTGTGGGAGAGTAAGGACACTGAAGTGTGCTCATGCATCAAAATCTTAGTCATGAAGGCAATATTTCTACAAGAGTAAAAAGAAAAATAAAGTGGAGGGGGAAACAGAATTTGAGGATGCCAAAGAAACGCCACTGGCAAAGGGAAGAAATTATGATCCAAACCATGGATACTTACAGATACTGAAATCTTTAGAAGCAAAATCTGTGCCTAGAAAAGGAATCTTCGTTTTCAAAAATCAAAATAGTCAAGGTAGACTAGGCCCTTCTGTAAGTATATTTTCTGTGTAAAGGAATTATGCAGTTAAAAAAGAAATGATCTATCTTTTTGCTAGTTTTCTTCCTTCCCTCTTTCTCTATTCTTTCTTTCTTTCCTCCCTTCCTTCTTTCTACCTTTCTTCTTTTCATTTTTTTAAACAAAATATTTCCAAGGATCCAGGCATGGAGGAGTTGACTTCTTTAAAAAATGACAATTATGTGAACATTAAAATAAATAGGACAGTGACCTTTTTTTGGAACAGAACTTCATCAGGCTCAAAAGTGTCCACTTACCTTCTTATGTCTGTGGAATCTGTGCTTTTTTTCTGGTTTTAGAATATACTGGAAAATTGCAACTTACTTAATAAGTTGTTAACTGCAGTACCAAAAAATCTGATTGTCATTGTTTTGTAAAAGAAATCACAGAACCTTTGTGTCTTTCCAAGTTCAGCCTTATTGGGTTCTAGGTCAGCATCCAGATTCTTCTGTCATTTACATTTCTCCGGACTCTGGCTGAAGCAGAAGGTGACACATTAACACTGAGCCCCTCTGGCCCTGTTGGCTTTGCCTTGAGAGCAGCTACTCCTTTAAACTCTATGATTGAGGAAGCATTCTCTGGGGAGAAGTTCTGTTTTCTAGCTTTTGTCTCCAGGGTTAATTTGCCAAGAGACTTACTCTGCATCCCATGGGTCTTCACGGAGTTAGAATCCAGAGATGAACCAGGGGATCTCATTACAAATAGAGCACCTAAGTGCTACTGGGCAAGATCCACTCACATAGGCATGGAACTTAACTCTTCTTCTAGGGAGAAAATGACTCAACTCAGATGAAGAACATGTTGAATGTCACATGGTACTATGCCTGTTCTTTTGAACCCCTATTAATGTTTGTCAATGTTTAGTTATTATCAGTGAAAATACAGCTACATACAAGTCAAATACGATGACCCTCTATTAAT